ATTGAGATAGTAGTGCTTGATTGGGAAACAATAACATGGTTTATGTGCTCGTTCTGGATAAATAGAGTTTCTATAATTTATGGTAGTTTAGTTACGTAGCCAATTGTGGAACTTTCTTGCTAATATTCTAATTTGTACGTTTGTTAATATACGTAAAATATTTCATAAATGACTTCACCCGCAAGTGAATGCATTAGTCCCTAATGGTTAGTGTATTAAGCGTGCGTCATGTCAATAATATTTTATTGTTTAGGTCCCCGTATGCAAACCATATATAAACAAGTACGAACGTGTGCACATCAAACGATTTTGTCAACATTTCGGATCTATCTGAAATATATCTACATCATTTAAGGCAGGGGGAATAATATACTTTTGCGAAAGCGGGTAATAATTTAATATTTCTAGTAATACTTATTACAAAGAAATAAAATACGAATACGACAAATTTTGTTTCATGAAAATATATTCTTCTAAAAAATCGTCACTTCGCTTGTGCGTTTTCATGGATTTTCGCCGCTCGTCCAAATTTAGCTTGTAGCATGCCAATCCAATGTTAAGAGCGTTATCCATCCTATAAATGTAAAAATCAGTCCATAACTTCAAGAAAACAGAAAAGAAAACTAGAATGATTGATTAAAATACTTCCTCGTTTTTTTTTATTACATATCTCAAAAACAGTTATAATATCGGACTCACGTTGAATAAGTGACAGATACAGAGCCAGAACCGTCGCAATTAAATTCCCAAGCTTAATGTAACCTATCACAGACAGCAGACAAACTAATAACGATTCGATACACGCTGCTGGGAAAGCTGCATTTGGAAATGAGCAATAGTGAAAAATCTATAGCATTGAAAATAAAAACAAAATTGAAACTGAAGCTAACAAGACTTCGGCTGACAGGTCTCGACTGAGAAGTGTCCTGTCGTTCCATGGCTTTGAAGCTTTTGCTGCTCCTGGTGATGAAGATGACTAAGCCCAAATGGAGACCCGCACAATGGCTGTCCATCTACCAAGACTCGAGTTCTTTTTCTGAGTGAAAACTCATGGATATAATCTTCGGAAATTAGAATTTCAATCAAATCTTATATGTGTTTGAATTGCTTTATGCCTTAACGACATCGTCATCCCATTGCCATCTCCATTCTCAATCTCATCAACCGCATCATTTATATCATCGTCATCATCATTACCAGTAGATAAAAATGTATCCTTTCAGTTTATGCATTTGAAGAGCCTCGAAATAGGAAAATGGTCGAAATTGATTGATTAAATATTTATTCATACGGAAGTGCTTAGCGCGTTTGCTTCTTCCCCATTGTGGATTCATACATACATATTTATGAGCTGTGGTCGTCTCAAGGATATTGTTCAGTTTTTTCTGCCTCTCTATTTTCATTATTTACCCCCTGGCTCAGCCAATAATGTAGCTGCACGATTGAATGAATAGGTCAACTTCATAAGCATTCGAATAAAACGATATATAATATAAAGAGTTCCACATATATATAAGGTGATTGTAACGAAATATAACGAGAATGGACGTGTGAGACGCTTCTTATTCGTCAAATCTTTTATAACTGGCACTCAGTACTACATCTGTACCATAGCTGTTATTTGTCTAATTTTAAATTTTTTCTTCATTTGTCATCTACATCTACAACACTTCTCACAGCAACACGCTCCTTTACCTCGCCCCCCTTTTCTAGACCCACACACTGCAAACTCATGGCAGAGGCAGAGGCAGCGCCCGCACACAAAAAAAAATCAAATATAAGCTGCGGAACGGGGTGGGTTAATAATCGGCAGAGGCACGGCAGAGGCAGAGGCCGCATAATGCAGAAGCAGAGTGTAAATGAGCGAATGTGCAAAAAACAAATATAAGCTGCGGGATAGGGTGGATTTAGCCACTGCAAATTAATTTCTTTATTGTGGCTATAATTATGATCCAATCGGATCCCAATTTGGTTATCTGATAGATATGGTCATTCCCTATGGAATGGCGCTTAAAGTTTTCTTTTATCTTCAAAATTGTAGTTTGGGAGGTTTTCGCCCTTTTGCGGGGGCGGAAGGGGGCGTGGCTCATTTTGAAATTCACTTGTAACAGTGTGAGCATACAGAACAAGACGCTCAACAAGACGGACGTGGAGACGGACGGAGAGACATTACCGTGCTCATATCAATCGATGGCCGATCAAAGACGCAGGCCCCAAAAAGTGGCTTTATTGGGGAACTAGAAAGAACGTATAACTATATAAATAACGAGGAGGGACGTGTGAGACGCTTCGTAAGCGTTCACGAAGCAGTGAGGAATTAGAGAATGTGCAAAAAATAAGCAAAGCTGCTGGACGGGGTGGGGGGAAGCTACTGCAAATGAATATATTTTTTACGGAATTACGGAATTACGTTTTTACTTTTCTCTTATCTTATATCCTCGTCTTTGATATGTCAGAGATCTGTCTCTCTGACTCGTCTATTGATCCTGATCAAGACATATGTACATATGTATATATAAACTTATATATGTGCATCCACTTTCGTGCACAAATAAAATTAGTATACTCTATTTACTCTTCGAGTCCCTGGTATAAAAACGGAAGCTACAGCAGGTCATACCAACAATTATTATGGGTGAAAGAACGTAGATCCCATAAAGTTTTCAATTTTATGGGCTTACAACCAGTGCAGAAAATGCATTGCCATGCCATCAGAATGATGATCCAATTGAGGTAAATGAACAATTATAAAGGTGCACAATCTGAGCTCTATTTAAAGCTTCAAGAAAACTTAACTGTTTCTTCATTCAAAGCTTCAATCAGAAGAGCAAGTTTCTGGCTCATCTTTTTTGAAAGTCCCCTGTAATCCTGGGTACTCTGGACGCCTTCATTATGAAGGACCGCAACAGTCACTCAATGAACACCTTTAGAACCCAACTTTGGACCATCTCACTGCGAAAAAAATAACAGAGAACATGAATAATAATGAAAAGAAAAGTTTCGCTTTCCCCCTTCGATATTACTTTAAATATGCAAAACTTCACTGTTGTGTCCTTTCCCTATCCAGTTGTCCAGCTAGCCGACTCCCGGCTCCGGGCTTCTTGTTCCTCTAACGAAGTGCGGGGATCCCCCTTTCGAGTCAAAGTTACAGGAAACACAAAATATAATGTTGAACTTCGGCGCGCACAAATATTTTCTTACATATACACACATACCCTCGGAAGGACAGAGGAAAAACACAAAGTTGGAGGAGCGTTGCGAAAAACTTGCGTCTGTCCTGGTCCTGGTCTAGGGCCACTTTTGCATTACATTATCTCAAGTTTTGAGCTGGCAATTTCTCACATTTTCCCATATTCGTTCGCCTGTCCCAAGTATTTGTATTTACCCATTGTCGTGCACATAAACATGCAACTAACTTGTTCCATTTCCATCAACGTCCGCTGCGTCGCTGGGCCCAGCCAAAATTGAGTATTTGTTGTGACAAAGGACAGCAACAAGATTCGACATTCTATCTGTAAAATACCCTCTATTAATGTTTTGATAACATATGAAAGCACTACAACATTTACCTGCCTGGAATCAACAGCAGAAAATGGAACAATCGATATACATCTTGGGAATCTGTTTCTCGATTATTGGGAATGAAAGGAAAATCGCTGGTCCCTCCTCTTGTCTATTTCAAACATTTCACGAATACAATATACCCCTGGACCCTACGATTACCAGGTATAAAAACAGTGAAAAACTTTGCCTTATTTTCATGTCAAGCCAAATGAGTTTTGAAAGTTGCTCAACTTATCTGTCTCGTCTTATACTGACAGTAATTTTTAATAAAAGCTGCCAAGTGTCGGGAAAATGTTCAATTTTTGAGTGCTGATCACCGGCTGAATAAACTTTGATGATATGAGCAACAGCCTTCCTCAATGCCTCCCTATCCTCTATTATATTGGACACTTCTTCGTCATATTCTCCAGGTAGACTGTGATCTGATCTGGAATATTATAGTAGTTATTCCGTTGGCGATTTGACAACTCGCTTATCTGTTTGGTGAGCGACAACGTGCCTTCCAGTTCGCGCTTAAGTTTAATGCATTTCGTGTGCATATCCACATAGGAACTATTCAGTTGTTGGCCGCTTCTGGCTTCCACTGGTGTGCCCATCTCTCCCACCTCCGATTCCTTCCGCAACAAGGAGTTGCTACTCAGGTCAGAGCAGCTACTTGACTCTAGTGTAGAGACTAATCCCAAGCTGTTTACGGGAAGGGGACCCTCTACCGAATCATTGATTTTCCGGCTTAGACGATCAACGACATTCAGACAGTCCCCCAGGTCGTCCTCCAACTTCTTGCAGACTTTCAAGCCAGTCTCGAGCCCTGCTTCCTCACTGCGCAATGTTTTCAATTTAAACATTGTAGTTGTAAAATATCTGATGAATAAGTCAAGGAACAACTCAACGTGGGTTTAAATTTTGATTTCTAATAGTAAAAAAACCACAGATAGCTTTTAAATTTTTGATACAAATATTTATTCTTGAACGAATGGGGTCACCATATCAATTCCGCCAACCCAAGCCACTATCTCCGTTGTAGTAGTCACGGACTTTTTCCTCTTGCGTGTTGTTGGCCGTGTAGTTGTGGCTGTTGCGACCACTTTCTCCAGATCCTCAATGCGATCAATGAGATCATCGATCGAGTTCATGGCGCTGCACTTGGTAAGGCAACTTTTAACCTGGATCTCCAGCGTCTTCTGTTTTTCTAACGCATTATGAAGGCGTTTCTCCAGGTCATCTATGCGCTTCACTAGCTTCATGTCCTTTTCAACATCCTTTTTTAGGTCCTCGCAAACTTTCTCCAAGCGAAGCAGCCGAATCTTGAGATCTTCTGTCATGACGAACTTATCCTTGATAGTTTTTGTTAGCACCGAAATGTGACCCATTATTTTATCCAGCTGAGTTTGAAGACTCTCTATGTCTCTCGTAGAGTTGTCCAGATTCTGTTGAAGTCTGTCAATGTCCATTTGCAGGTCGCCACTTCCGCTGCCATTAACAGAGGCTTTGTGAGTTCCAAGCTTCTTTATTTTTTCAAGGGCTTCGTCCATACTTTTTCTAAGAAGCTCCGCTTTCTTTTCCAAATCACTAATGTGATCGGTGAAGGTTACATTTAGTTTGTCGACATTCAGTTTTAGTTCATCTGAATCATTTCCGATACCGTCGAGGAATTTACAGCAGTGCCTGGACCTTCCTACCTCTATGTGCAGCTTGTTCACTTGCTTTTCGAGATCCTCGACGCGTATTTTGAGCTTATCATCAGTGAGATGAGATGAGATCTCATTCTTACTGCTTTTCCCGGATGGATTCTTTCCTTTCACAGCCTGCTGAAGCAGAGTTTCTATTTTCACCAAAATTTTCCCAATATCTTGACAAGATTTTATATTCTCTTTCACGATCCCTTCCGAAGGGATCAGATCAGCAATCCTTTTGGAAAGATAATTGACTTTTTTCTTTACGGCTTCAATTCTGTTTTCTAAATCGGATGTGCCTGGGTTTGATTCATCATTCGATCTACTGCCGCACTTCTCTGCGCACATGTCAGTGGCGTTTGATATGTTCTCCGATATTTTGCTAATTGTTTTCTGGATGTCATTCAATTTGACTTCCTGATCTTTTTGTCCATCTTTTAGATCGTCTAACTTTTTTTCCAGTTCCTTGGCCTTTTCGATTCCCTCATTCTTGACTGTCGTCGCTTGTCTCTCTAAATCCTGTAATTTCTTGTCGAGTCTGGCGCAACATTTGGCGATGAAACTGTCTCCACTCTTCATTAACTGCTCTTCAAACTTTTCCAACTGTGCCCGTGAATCCTCCAGTTGCTTCTCTAGGACTGCTTCCTTTTTTTGCAGCTCCCCCATCGTCTTGCCATGCTTGCCATTCGAATTTTCCAGTTTCTTTCGTAGCTCCTCCAATTGTTTCTGTAGGTCCGCTTCCTGTTGCTTGAGGTCCTCAGCCAGCTGATCACAACAGCTCTTTAAGTTCCGGCGTATGAGTTTTCCCATCTGGTTCAGAATGTTGTCCAGGTCCTGTCCCAACTCACCGCTTGACTTAAGGGAACTGCCTTGCACCTGCAGCTTCTCCGAAATACCTTTGTGTTTGGCTATGCCGTTTAAATACACCATAATCTTGTCCATAGTAGCTTTTTCGTAGAAGCAGCAGCGCTCGATCGGCGCGGTGTCATTGAGAGCGAGGAGCAGTTGGCCCAGGTGCTGATTGAACCGCGTAAGTTTCCCGGTCACCACCACGCGGTGATTAATCCACCTTGCTATCTGGCTAAAATCATGGCACTCCTTTTCCACCGTTCTGCTAGTGATTCCCTGCATCCAGCTGGAACTGTCGGCATAGCCAGAGAATATTCCTCTCTCGTTAGTGCTTTGGTGTTCGCCAGAGCTCGCCTCCGCAATTGCTGATAGGAGAAGCAGCAGCGACGAAATCTGTGCATGACATTGGCAGTTTTTAATGAGCTTCTCACACTCTCTCTGTCCACCTAGACACCTGCACGATTCATTGAACTCACCTTTGGTTTCATTTCTGTCACGTTTGTTGCGGTCCACGTTGCTGTTCCACCGGTCTACCAAGTTTAACTAACAGCCACGCATCTACAGCAAAAAGCCTAGGTTCTCTTGGAGTGGAGCCCCCCAATCGATTTTCATGGTGCGCTTATTGACAAAGAACGGGGAGGTTGAACAATTGAACATTAGAATTTATCCAAGTAACATTAGAAACCAAAACAGCCTAATCCAGACAACCGAAAGTCAATTAAACAGGAAAAGCAGTTGACGAGAACATGTCTACACACGTATTACGTCGGAAATTTTTCCGAAGAACCCAACTCAAAACTCAAGACACTCCAAAGATCCTCGCGAATCTTATTCCAGACTATAAATAGCGTTTGAAAATTGAAGGATAAATTATGTGGTCAACCCAATGCAATTCCAAATTCCCAGAGCAGCATTTACTCGTTATCATCGAACAGGGTGTGGGTCCTGTGCCCCTTGAAGCAGATCCCCATAATGGAACCCCAAACCCAAACTCTAAATCGTCCCCAGACCAACATACATATGTACATATATCTCTTGCGTTTCCTGCTGGCATCCCGACTCTGCTCTGTTCCCGAGAGCGAGGAAATAGACAAAAATTTCAGCTACGCAAACATGGCTAGTAAACCGAAAAAGAGAAGTACAAAAATTAAATTGCAAAGCGGGAAAACCCCTGCAAAGTGGGGAAAGCGAAACTGAAATCACAGCAAAAGTTGGAAATAAAAGTGAAATATACTTTTGCGCTGCGGTCTGAGAAACATACGAGCACGAATACCACAGCAGGGGAGGCAATCCGAAATGATTTTTGCTCAAGGTGTTTGCTCAGCCATCGAGGCAGGCAGAGATATTAGTTTAATTAGTAGACGATTCGCGCAACGTGGTGTATGCGGTCTGCGTCATCGCACAGACACGTGCCGCAGAATTGAAGAAGCGGAAACCTGCAAAACCACCAAAAAAGCAATCGAACTTTTCGTGCTTGACTTGCGATGGCTGCGAAGTGACACTGAAACGGGCACGGATATGGATGTCTGCGACAACCAGAAGGAAGTTTCCGCGAGACAGCAGAGACAGATGCAAATGGTAGGTGCTATGCCTTGGGAAAGCCAAGGGAAACTTTTGCAAGTAATTGGCTTAATTGTGTCGAGTTCCTACCAGCGAATATTGGCATGCCTGTAGAAGGACAGTTAATACTCGTTGTCGAGATAATGATTAAAGTTCAAGGAAATTTCCGGAATGCCATCCAAGGTTTATTCCCCTAAGAAGCTTTAAGGAAAACGTTTTTCCATGCCTTTAATCGTCCACAACCTACTCTGGTTCCGAAAAATAATTGAAAATACTCACTCGAGCGTAAAATGTTCATAAAAATAGTAGGAACGTTAGTGAGACGCTCCGTACGCGTCACAACTTTATGTACCTTATTTTTATACCTGGCACTCCAAGAGTAAATAGGGTATATTGTATTTGTGCACAAATTGGATGTATGTAACGCACAGAAGGAATCGTTTCCGATCCCATCAAGTATATATATTCTTTATCAGCATCAATAGCAGAGTCGATATAGCCATGTCTGTCTGTCCGTCCGTCTGTCTGCTTTATCTTCAAAATTGTGCCTGTGGGAGATTTTCGCCCTTTGTGGGGGCGTTTCAGTGGAAGCATACTGTAGTCTGGTGGCTCTAGGTCTTATAGTCTCTGAGAACTAGCCGACAAACAAGACGGATAGCCGAACAGACAGACATGGCTCTATCTGCTCAGCTATTGATGCTGATCAAGAATACGTATATATACTTTATGGGGTCGGAAACGTCTCCTTCCCTGTGTTACAAACATCCGTTATTCCCCACAAATACAATATACCCTATTTACTCTTCGAGTACCGAGTATACAAATTGTCGTCAGACCATTCCTAAGCTGCATATCTTTCATAAAAAGTGGGTTTGGGTCCTTGAGGAAAAATCGTGTCGGGTAGTGTAATCATTTATTTTAATTGTATTCTATTTTGAATAATGCTACAAAATAAGAAAAAGCATCTCAGACCCCATGCAAATAGTCATCTTTATTAATGTTCAGCGATTGTATTCGTATGAAAAAGGTAATTATACCCGGTACTCGAAGAGTAAATAGGGTATATGGTACGTCTGTACGTCTGTCCGTCCGTCTTGTTGAGCGCCTGGATCTCAGAGACTATAAAAGCTAGAGCCACCAAATTTTGCATCCAGATCTCTGTATGTTCTCACACTGTTACAAGTGTATTTCAAAAATGAGACCCCCCCCCCCACGCAAAATGGCGAAAACCTCCCAAATCTAAAATTTTGAAGATAAAAGAAAACTAAAAACGCCATTCCGTAGGAAATGGCCATATTTATCAGATCACCAAATTAGGATCCGATTGGATCATTATTATAGCCAGAATGAATAAATTAATTTGCAGTGGCTAAACCCACCCTGTCCAGCAGCTTTTGTTGTTATTTTTACATTCTCTCATTCACACTCTGCTTCTGCTTCACTCGGCCTCTGCCTCTGCCGTCCCTCTACATCTGCCTCTGCCGACTTTCAACCCACCCCGTCTCGCAGCTTATATTTGTTTTTTTGTTGTTGTTGTGTGCGGACGGTGCCTCTGCCTCTGCCTCGAGTCTGCAGTGTGTGGGTCTAGGGAAGGGCGGCGAGCTAACGGAGCGTGTTGGTGTGAGAAGTGTTGTAGATGACAGATGAAGAAAAAATTTAAAATTTTACAAAACACCGCTAAGGTGCAGATGTAGTACTGAGTGCAGGGTATAAAAGTCGTGACGCGTAAGAAGCGTCTCACACGTCCCTTCTCGATTTATTTAGTTTTAGTAGTATTATTTACAATTATAATGTAACCAACAAATTAGTTATATAGTCGTACCCAAAGTATGTAGCTGTTCGGTTCACCTATTTGAGCCCGTATCTGTTTTGACATTTAGCCTTTAGTGTTCGGTGTTCGTCATCTAGTATGCTGCATATGTTGAAAAAGGCTACCTTGATTGAATACAAAAATTAAATAAAACAACGAAAACCTAACCGAACTTGTTAAGCAAATACCCTTTAGTCGCACATCAATTTCAAACTGTGCTGCTAGAGTCACTGGAAGAGAGAATGGTTTTATTCTAGCATTCAGCATTTCTAGGGCCAATTTCAGCCTGATTTAAATTGCGCTTTACGTTTTGCTTTTGCGTATTAGAGAAAACGTATACAGTCTATTTACAACGAATGGACGACATTTACAAATTAAAAGCTTGAAGATGTCAAAATGTCGAATAACAATTAATGGAGAGAAAAATATTAGATGACAGTAAGAGTAGACAATTTTTCAACAGAATGTGGACTTTTCCACCATATTTTCAGTTTGAATTGATGTGCATAATACAACCTCCATCTACTCAAACCTAAAATGTATGTCCTTTATATATGTACATACATATGTCATGCCAACCAGTGGAAAATATCTAAGGCATGTCGGTTAACGTTTACTACTATAATAAAAAACACATATTTCTAAAAAATATGGTTTATCTGTTATATGCATGCATGTACAAACTTTCGACACCACCTAGAAAAGGGAGAGAAAACTGTGGAAAACTTCCAAATCTTTTTACTTTGCGTACCAGCTCATGGGTAGGTGTGTGTGCACTCATGCATAGGAATAAGCTGATAAAGCCCTGACAATTGTGCCATCGAGTAGCATTTTAGTTTCGGGATTCGACTTAATGCCTCTTGACTTAAATTTGCAAAGTCGGCTTAGAAGCGTCGTTAAAGAAGAATGATGGAATGGAAAATTTATAAAATGTACCATTTAGTTTTTGAAAGATTTTAATTACTGAAACAAAAATGGCAGCCAAATTAATGATGACAAAAGCATGTTAAAATTTATTTTTGTTATGCCTCGAAGAGGCTAACAGGGAATATTGTATTTGTGGTGAAGAGTGGATGTGTACATACATATGTAACACGTTTCTGTCTATGTCCGTCTGCCGGTCCGTCTTGTTTGTCGCCTGCGTATCAGAAACTATAAGAGCCAGAGTCACCAAATTGTTGCATCGAGAAGGGGCGAAAATCAGCTACATCCATAATTTTGAAGATAGGACCAAGCTAAAAACGCAGTAGAAAATGGCCATATCTTTCGTCCCTGAAAAACGAAATTAATGTCCAGTGCCTACCCCCACCCCTTCCAGCAGCTTTGTTTATTTTTGGTAGCACACTCTGCCTCGTGAAGTGTTTGGCTCAGGGGGAGGGGCGAGCTGAAAGAGCGTGTTGGTGAGAGAAGGGATGTTATTGATTATGTAGATGACAGATGTAGACAAAATTTAAAATTCGAAAAAATCATAAGATTACATTGTTTACATGCATACTAGCAAATGTATGTATCACGTTAAGGTTACATGCAAAAAGATTCACATATAAATATACTGACTGAGTACCGGGTATAAAATTTGTAATGCGTTCCAGCGTCTCATAACGTTCCTCCTCGTTTTGAGTGGGAGGTCGGCGGTGTGCTTCAAGAGCTCTGACCAATTAACATGTCTTTTTTCCCCCATTATAGATGAAGGGAATGTGGGAATGTGGCCCGGTAATCCCTATGGTTGGTCGTCATTCTGCTTAAACTCTTAACCCGTACTAAAGGACACGCTGGTGCCCACAGGACGTTCAATTATGAATGCACCACCAAGCAGAAGCCCAAAGCAACTGTGCTGTCAAAGAAGTGTCCTTCCTGTGGGGTACGGTCCCTCGGCCTCTTAAGTAGCATAGGCTAATGACGACTATGATTATTGCGACATTGATTTTTCGTCTGGCGGGGCACGGTAAGGAGCAGTGGAGGTGGGTGCCCGTGGGAAACTGTCATAATGTTTAATGCATAAGCCTGCTAATCGGCTTACTCAGTTAATTATTGTACTTGATGACAATCAAATAATTGAGCAACAAACACAGCAGGCTACAGTTTCACCTTCTCACCTCCATCAGTACTAGCCCCAGCTCGTACGGACTTGGATATACTCGTACATGTATATGAAAATATTATTTAAGCAAGTACACA